TGTATCAATGAAAGGAAGAAGTGTAGGCTACATGATAAGAAGGGAATACAGTTTGAATAAAAGTAATACAGTACAGTGTAACACTGTACTTTATTACTTTTTAATCTACAAATACTTTGTTACTGTACGATATCAATAACAATAATCCACAGCTCCTCTCTCTGCTCCAGAGGATAACAAAAAGCAGCACCCTGCCAAGGCAGTAAATCTAGGGGAAACACTGTATAGAGAAGTAAAGTGAAAACTGTTAGTAGCGGCCGGTTTGTGTTGTTTTTCTTTGAAACTGTTGTTATAGTTGCAGCATGTGCAGTACAGGGTCCAGTGCAGTACCATACCAACAGCTGATTGGTTGAAATAAGTTGAATGCAGATCTGCTTGGGCTCACCGGTATGCGTCCTCTGGACCTGAAGGCTGCCACTCTCCTGAGGTCCTCCTCTTTACTATTAAAGGGTACGGCCAGCACGGTGGGGTAGGTGTCGCACAGCTCGTAGTTCTTATTGATGAAGGTGATGCGCCACTTGTTATTGGGTAAGCCCTGCGAAGGAAAATGATTAGTTGGTCACTTCATACGCAGAAATGCTCCTTTTCTACTCAACTTAGGGTGTATTTTGCTAACAAACAAAACAGAGCTATGCCTCGTAGCAATGAGTCTTGATAAGGAGTAGGTAATAATAGTAGAGTCCTAAAGCTGCCTTACCTGCCGTCTGAACTCCTCTATGGGTTTGTAGATGTCCCAGCCGTTCTCCCCGTACTTCTCCTGAGTCACATATGCAAACAGTGGCTGCACCCAGAGGAGACAAGGAGAATTTGTATGAATAGGATTTTAGGATAGTAAGGTTTTAGCAGCAGGACAGGACATGTGGAGTCACGGCTTACTTTTGTTCTTGTTTGGGTTATTTTCTACTACTAAGCCAGAAAGATGTGTGCCCCAGTTCTTCATTCAGAAATTGAACAGTGAATGTCTGAATTCACTCTTGTGAGTAAAACATGAGCTATAAAAAAATCCTTAATAAAAACGCTGCCTGCTTGGTTGGTGTCCAGTACAGCCAGGGGATATTTGGCAGAATAAAAGTACAGATTTTAATGTGTCCACTGGCCCATATTAGAGACGCTAGCTCTGACACACATGTAGCATGCAGGAGTATTCACCCAGCTGATGGAGCTGTGGGTGGGCAGCTGATGGCTTGAGGGCTGCATCTCTGCATTCAACACTTGCTTTGAAGCAATGCAGGAGGACTGTATGAAAATGTCCTTTCTCAGCTAATATGGTTTGCTGCTTTCACCCCTGTGTATCACTAGGGATATCGGATGATGTTGGCTGTGATAATTCATATGGCACAGTTTGTTTGAGTTTCGATCCCAGGGCCATTACAGCAGAAAATCATACATTCAATAATATCAGGCTTTTAATATAAAGCCCTGGCTTCAAAGATAATAGTTTTTACAACTTTCCAATTGAGCAACTTCCTTATTTGCAGCCTCGTTTCAACTAGGAACATTGTTGCTGTATCGGTGATCTTTATGTACACAAATTGGCATTTAAAAAGTCACAAAATCTTTAAAACAAATGAATATTTGGTAGTGATGTTCACGACAGAAGCTGGTAAAAAATGGGAAGTGGGAAATTATATGAATTAATAATTTTATGGCAGTTTTTCTTTTTACACAGACATCCGAAAACTTTTTTTTTTTGAGACACACAAGAGCTGATACACTCAAGGATCAAAACTGGACTTGTTTTCAAACTAAAAGGCAGGGGAGTGTTCTGTTTGAAGTGATTCCTACATACAGTACATAATGTTTATTTTGCTCTAGATTGTATAGTATTGAACACATGCTTATCCAACCAATGTAGCTCAAACCATCTGAGAAAATAGGGGTTCCTTCTGTATCTTAATTGAATTCATTTGCTAGCCAATCACCCTTTTGTGTGTCGGTCAGTAGGGGGCAGTAGCGTGAGAATCTGCCTTACCAGACCGTGTGAGAGGGGGAAGGCGTATTTGAAGATGAGCTCGAAGATATCTCTCCTGCTGTGACCTTCTTGCTTCAGGGCGAACCTCAAGTTCCTCATATCCTGCGGAAAGAGAAGATCAACCACTTAACCACCAACACACACAGCATCTAAGACAGTACTGCAGAAGAAGAAAATAAGTGTGAGTGAATTTAGAACTAGAGTATTCAACACTGTCACTCTTTAAAAATAACTCATTACCACAGCAGTCAAATATCCGGTAGTGATGCCTGGCTGAGCGGCGGCCACGGCTAGCTGCAATTTCTTAAAAAGGTACCCTGCAGAGGTTTTGACTTCCTGTTTGTTTAGAAAGCTCCACATGTCTCCTTTAATTTGTGAGGTAGTACAAGCACCGACTATCAGCTAGCAGTAGGGCTGCCTTCATATAGTAGACTGAACGTTATTCGGCTAAAAAAATCTTAGTCGAGTAATTTTTCATTGGTCCATAGGTGCCAGGAAGAAAACCTCCCACCTGTGCGATGAGTGTGCTCAGTCATGTCAGCTGGGAAACCCCTCCAACTTCATACTGAGCTGTGCCTCATTAAGTTGATCTTGTCTGGTAGGAAATGTCAAAGTGTGGATAACAAAAAGTCACCTTCCACATCCAAGCCACTGAAGCACATCTTATCAAAAGCTGGCTTCATTGCAAAACACAGAGTTTAAATATCCGACAACATGTGTTGAAGGCCAAGTTGTAGGATCGAATACTAAGAAATTATCACATGACTTGAAGTCATATCTGATTTCAGATGTGGGAAGTTACTAAGTACAGTTCTTCAAGTACTGTACTTAAGTACAATTTTGAGATATTTGTACTTTACTTGACTTTGATCTAATTTGTAAAATTAGCTGCACCTTTACCAGCTTTGATAACACTTTAATGATCAATCATTACAAAACATATCATATATATTATTCTGAAATGGACCAATCTGCACAATGACTACTTTTACTTTTGGTACTTTAACTATATTTTGATGATAATACTTTTCAAATTTTACTTGAGTAACATTTTGAATGCAGGACTTTTATTGTAACAGAGTATTCCTAAACAAGATCTGAGTACTTCTTCCACCTCTGTCTGATTTCAAACTCTT